TCCAGTGCCCCATGCTGCAACCCGTGCACTCTCCTGCACCCCACACACTCTCCTGCACCCCAGGCTGCAAACCGTGCACTCTCCTGCACCCCACGCTGCAACCCATGCACTCTCCTACTTTGCAACCTGTGCACTCTCCAGTGCCCCATGCTGCAAACCGTGCACTCTCCTGCACCCCACGCTGCATCCCGTGCACTCTCCTGCATCCCACGCTGCAACCCTTGCACTCTCCAGCACCCCACGCTGCAACCCGTGCACTCTCCAGCACCCCACGCTGCAACCCGGGCACTCTCCTGCACCCCACACTGCAACTTGTGCACTCTCTTGCGCCCCATGCTGCAACATGTGCAATCTTCTACAGCCCACGCTACAACCCATGCACTCTCCTGCTCCTCATGCTGCAACCCATGCACATTCCTGTACCCCATTTCAGAACCCATGCACGCTCCTGCAACCCACATTCCACATCATGTGAATATTCTCTCCCGTACCCTATGCTGTAACCCATGTACTCTCCTGCTCCCCACGCTGCAGACGAAAAGCATGGGGACGGCTTCCCTGCTGATCGGGAACCCTGGTGGCGAGTCTTTACACGCCGCCCGGCTTATCAGGGAGCCAGGTGGCGAGTCATTACATCCCTCCGGGCTTCCCTAATGGGACTTCCGGTATCGGTGAGTACCGGGAAAAAAATATCGGTACTCGTACTCAATACCGGTGTAGCCCCCATCACCTTTTGTGATGTGGCTACTAGACATTTAGTGATAGCCAGGGCTGTAGACAGCCTAGCTGGACTTGCAGTGGCAATTATCTGGTTAATCCCAGTTGTCTAGCCTTGACTGTACCCCCCTGGGCGGAGTGTGACTCTGTCATATTGTGGGACAGCCAATGGAAGATACTGTAATGTATGAACAGTACAGCAGCTAATAACTGGGCTTCTCTCAGCCAGTGGTGCATGCTGGGATAGAGTACATATATCGGTGGGAGCTGCCATGTGCTCAGACTAGCCGGGACCAGCCATGGATTAGGGCTGGGTCCTGTTCAGCCTGCCCCCCAGGTTAGGCCGAGGCCTGGGGGTGGGCATGGGCTGGTGTGAGGGAAAAGGTTTCCCTGAGACCTCCAACATGGAGGAGGCCTGGGAGACTGAAAGAGGAAGAGAACCGGGACCAGTGCAGGCTCTTGAAGTACCCTGGAACTAAGTGGACTTCAGGAGCATGGTCGCTGTCTTTCCTGATTAAGGATCTGCATCCATCCTGTCTGTCTGTTATATCAGTGGCTGTCTGCTGTCTACCAAGTGGATTTGCATTGATACATCTACAAAGTCTGGTAAGTCTGGAACTTCTGATGGCTACCCCTGGACACCTAGAACCCCTATACCCTCTCTCCTCAGTGAATGTGTTCAATAAATCGTTTTACTTAGCATTTTACTACCAGAGTGGACATCAGTTTATGGTCACCCGAAGTGGGCGGTTAATGCTATCGGGCTGGCAGTTGAAGATCATACCCTAGGCCAGCGGTTCTCAACCTGTGGGTCGCGACCCCGTCGGGGGTCGAAAGACGATTACCTAGGGGTTGCCCTGGGAGTCTCACGCTATTGGATAGCTTTCCCTGCGATCGTTTTTATTTTTTTTCTGACATCGGGAGCCGCGGCCCGTCGTCAGTCAGAAAAGAAAACAAAAGCCATAGGAATGCATAGCTAGATTCCTATTGGCTATTTCACTTTGCATTAGCAAACTAGCTATTGCCCCCTCCCTCTGCTGCTGCCAATCAGCAGAAGGGGACCTGCAGTTCTCCATCAGGTCCGCTTCTAGTGATTGACAGCAGCAGAGGGTGGGTGCAATAGCTAGTTTGCTATTGGCTATTGCAAAGTGAAATAGCCAATAGGAATCTAGCTATGCATTTCTATGGCTTTCTTTTTATTCTGACGGCGCACGTAGGACAGTTCTATGGACACTGGGTCCTGAGCTCGATTCCTGGAATTGGCTACAAATCTGTAAAAGCTGCTCAAGGTCTTTTAATGGGTGACGGTGTCCATACCATGTTGTGAAATGGTTAGAGTACCTTACCCCCTCTTGTATAGTGTATTCATTTACTGGTAACGGTGTCTACAGGCATGTGTGAGAACTGTAAAGGAGGGCTAGATTGTGGTGGTTAATGGTGGTGCAGCGAGGGGGGTAAAGGCTCTGGGTGGGGGTAAGCTTGAGTTGATGTTCTATGTAAAGGTGACTAGGAGGGGGCAGTAGTGTACTAGGGTGGCCAGATGGGTTGCTCTTGTGGGTAAAGTAGTGGTTCTCAACCTGTCGGTCGCTGTGTGATTTCTGCTGTGCTAGGTGAGAGTCCTCCTCAGCCCTCTCCTAGCGCAGCAGTATCAGTTCTCCCGCCACTCCGCCAGATGTCGCTGCAGCAGCCGCGTCATCCCTAAATTTTACCGTTGGGAGTCACCACAACTTGGCAAATGTTACCAAGGGGTCCTGGCCCTAGATAGGTTGAGAACCACTGCCCTAGACCGACTAGAAGTAAACCGGGCAACCAGCGGCTCCTATGGGGTAGCGCCAGGGCCGGATTTACTCCCCCTGCCGCCCCAAGGCCAGGTTCCACAATTTTTAATCAATTAAATTTTTTTAGATTTTTATTTATCTTTTTACTTTTTTATAATTTACTTTTTATAGTTTTTATCGTATTATTGTTTATTTTTTATAATTATTTTCTTATTTTTTACTTTTTAATCACCTTTTTATTTTTTTATTTAATTATTTAATATTTTTTTTTACATTTTTTTTTTTTTAAATCAATGTAATTTTTTCCCCCCACCTAACTTTATTGCTATCACACAGGAAATAATAAGCTCCTGTGTGATAGCAAGGTAGACAGCTACTTCCTCCGGCGTCAATCCACATTAACAGGACGCCGGAGGAAGTATCTGACAGCTGGG